CCCCCTGAAAAGCAGTGGAAGCCTCTATGTTATTTTAAAAACCAGACTGGAAAAAGCAGTGAAGGACAGACTCAAGCTAGCAATGCTGCTTTGGCTGAGTGCAAACCCAATGACCTAATAGGCTGTCCCTCCTCGCCCTCCTCTGCCTCTTACAACTCCATGATAACTTCCCTGCACAGCACAACACAAATTCACCTTCATATGCTCATGTGTTCTGGACAAGAGCTTCCGTCAAGAGTGCCGATGAGCTATGCCAATTTTGCTAGTTCCTTGCTGCACAAGGAAAGTAATGGCAGGACCTCTACTTCATAGGAATGATCCCCTCTGCTTTTTTGGAGTCCTTGTGATTGTACATGGGGAAAATGTTGGATACAGAAATCCAGTTGGGTACAGCTCAATAAGGGGTGTGGTGGTAATCAATAATTAGGCCACCTCATCCACATATTCAGGCTGCTAAATACTATCCAGTTGTGGAACATGCCAAAGTTAGGGAGTATTTGGATATGGGGCTTTGGATTGGACCTGTCCTTATACTGTAGACTTTGAATGGTATAAAAGAGAGACTTTTGCAAAGGAAACAGGAATATATATCAGCCATGAGATACTTCTAACACTTAGTCCCCTAATAATTGAATTCTTGCTGTTACGAAGCAAAAGATGTTCCCAGCCAGAATCAGAACGGAACTTGAACTTAAATACATTGAATCTTTTCTTCAAGCTTCTTTTGAAATCCCAGCTGGGATAAATCTGCAACAAATTCCTGAGTTCAAAACTGATTTTCTGCCATGCAGAATAATTTCTAAAAACAAACTGAAAATCTCCGAGACTGTCATCCAACATCATGAATTGGTGAAGACAGAGGGGAGAAACTCAGCATTATCTCTGATGGCAAAGACCTAGCTCTCACAGCTAATAATCTCAGGTAGTGGTGCCCACATGGATTCCAACTGCCTGAGCATGTATACTCTTTGTGCTAAAATCAGTGCTTCTGTCAGTTCCTAGGTGGTTAGAGTATCGTGTTGTGTGCCTGAATCTGGGCTGCAGCACACAAAAGCAACTGAGCTGCTTCTTTCAGCTCGATGAGATCATTTCCAAGAGCACGTAGTAGGAGTGAAAATCTCCCAGATGGGACTGGTGTAACTTACAAACACTTTGCACTAATGTAAATGACAATGCAATGAATTTAGAAACAAAGGAGCAGCTATATGGGATGGTGCTTACTGAATTCCGGACTCTGAACTGAGAATAGTGGAGTCTGTAACCTGTCCCACCAAGGGAAGGAATGACTTTCATGAACACATGTTGAAGTCATTATAGCACAATTGTAAATGACTTGTTGGTAGGCTATGTTTATTAGATGATAATCTTTAAGAGGGAAAAGAGAGAAGGCATTGGACCAAATTTTCACAGAGGCTCATGTTTCTGTATCCTCCGGAAACCACTTGTACTCCCTTGAGCATCTTTGCCATTTCAATTGCTGGATTTGAACCAGCAGTAAGATCAATGACTGAGGAAAGCCAAAACGTGTTACTTGCCCGATTCCTCTGGGCACTGCTCCACTGGTCAATAACAAGATACAATGCAGGGAAACCTGGGTGTACTGTAGTGAAATATATTTGTGTCGTAACAACGTAGCAGATAGAGTATCTCTGACTGGCTGGCTGCTACCAGACAGGGAGAAAACAGGGGACTAAAAATTTCAGCAGTGGGGCACTTCCTTACTTAGAATAAAGTTTAAGTTGTGTTCAACATCAGAGGGTTTAACAAAATTGCCCGTGGAGATATTTTAACCAGAATGACCACTCTTCAAAAAGAGATCCAGATTCCAGCAGTGCAGGGTTTGCACTCAGATATGAACTGTGCATTTCTAGTCTTTTCTGTTTACTGCAGTGCTGCTACAAATAGCCATGAACTGAAAAGATACGAGAAGGGTTTCAGCATTTCCCGAAAGGATTAACCCTGAAAAATGTAGTAACAAAGAGAATCCTTTGCTAGAAACATCTCAACATGTCCTGACTGCAAGAGATTAGCTTTCTGACTCTGGAGTGTTTTCACACATCATCAGTGGATGATGCTACTGATATCTGTTGCATGTGGTTTGTTTCTCTTAATCCTGGAAGAACATTCACATGTGCCTTGAAGGGTTTCGCTTCAGTGAAGCATCCAGTTGCTTGCTTGGTTCAGATGGCACAGGACAGCCCTCCCAGTTCCTGTGGGTGACTGCTGAGCAGCTTTGCATTGCTTCTGACCTGATATCAGCATGAATTTGATTTTCCACTCCTGAGGCATCCTAATACAGCCAAAATCTTCTCGCAGGGCATCCCTTCTGCATGAAGCTGGCCCTGTGACCCACGTCTGCTGGCAGACATCCATGTGCTGTGCTGCAATCCTTGATCTTCTCAGAACATCTCTGGTGACATTTAGGATCAATTCCATTCATATTTCTTCCCTCTTTCTAAGGAAAGAAAATGCAATTTGCTCCCTACCTCTCAGAGAATAAGCAATATCGACTAAAGGAACTAACTTTGCAAGCACAGTGGAATCTGTAACAACTTCACAGAAGCTAGACCATCGTAACTGATCAGCTGCTTATTCTGGTCTAAGAAAGCAATGCAACCCTGAAATCTGTTTAAGCTCATTGGAAATTGCCATTGCACATATGGCTCCTTTCTATAGCACTTGCCCCTGGACACTTGTTCAGAGGGATTTCCTTCTGCACAGCTCCTCTACCAGCACCTTGAGATCACAGTTTAAAATTCTCCATCTTTACCCATGGAGGTGAAAATAGATTGCTTAACACAGATCTGGAAATGCTTTATGTGGTGCATTGCTGGACTGAACTTACCTTGATTGGAGAGTACCACTTCCGAGGAGAAGAAGGTCTGCGCATGTTGTTTGCAAGGTTCCTGGGTTCTGGGAACTCATATTCTTGTTCTGGCATCTTGACCCTGGCATTCTTGGCTTTCTCTAATTTAGCGCCTTCCTCTGTGGAGCCCTTTTCTCCCCAGCGCACCTGAAATGACAGCAGGAGAAAAATGAGGGTGGAGAAGTGCTTGAGAAAAGCTGTAAGAATATTTCATTGCAATTTGCATGGGAATGTTGCCCCTGTATCGCATGCACAAAAGCTGTACTGCAGTAGAGGAAAAGACTGTCCTAAGACTTAAGACCATCTATTTGGCTCTCAAATATAGAAAAGAATTTGGTTCCAATGCACAGAAGTATGAAGTTTGTACCTGCCTCCCAAGCTTTTTGGTTAAACTGCCTGAGTGTTTCACAACTGAGTTCACAACTGAGATTTTCTGGTGTCTACTTACCTCCATTCTCTTGATGCCGCCAACTCCTCGACCGCCATAATAAGAAGCATCCACTGTTGGCCATTTCTTCTTTGGAAGACCATCGTCATCTTCCTCCTACAAAACAGAAGGAAAGGGTTGCACTGTTAGAAAGCAGGAACTGAGTTGGTAAGGGGTAAATAGCTACAGGTTGTATGGCCCTTTCAGCCTGTAAGAACTGGTGCTGTAAAGGTAGTGGTCTGTTGCTGGTTGCTTTCAAGAGGATGTGCACTCATGAAAAGAAAATGTTTCATAATATAAACACCACCACCACCCAAAGGGTACAATCAAACTCCAGCAAGAACGTGTGTTTTTGATTATTTGTTTGTTTTGAAGAGACCTTTCATTCTTTTTAATTTCTATTGGTGTATTCTACATAATATGGGTACACTGTAAGAACTGCACATACGCTCTGACCCATGCAGTGCCTTTCCCTTTAACTTCTACAACTCAGTCTGTGAACTGGCAAAACAGAAAAGCAGAGTCCATCAAAAACGTTTAGTATTTCCTGTGAAAAATGTGGAGAGAAATGAAAAATGGTCTTTCTCTCTCATTTTTTTCCCTTTCTTTCCTTAATTCTTCACAGGGATTTGGCAAAACTCCAGAACTTTGGAGCTTTCCAAAACTGGGAAAGCCAAAAATACTTTGAATTCAAACTCTCCAGTTGGAAAACTGAAAAACTGGGGAGGAGGGATAAAAATCCGAGACAAACTATGCTTTTCATGCCAAACAAAAGTGTTTTTTTTATTATTTAAAACAAACCAAAACCATCAATCGGACTGCAAAATTTGTCCTGATCTCAAGGGAGAGTAGGCAAATGAATCATAAATACAGAGCTATTCCCTCCTTCGAAGCTGATCTCCTCTCTCACGTTGGAGTAGCTGAGGCTCTTTGCTGCAACCTACGAACTTAATATCTCTGCATGAAGTTTTCCACGAGGACTTTTTTTATTTAAAAAAAAAAAAGAAAAGAAACCAAAGCCATCTAAATATTTTCCTTCAGCAATTCTCTCTTTCTCTCTCTTCAGCTGAGCACAGACTGGACTTCTCACAACAGGAAATACCAAGGTTTAGGAAATCTTCCCCACAAGCCCTTGAAAGCCCTGCAAGTCGCTTCGATCTAAGATAGGAGGGCTTCTGCCAGGACAACAGAAACACCACACGCGCAAAAAAGGACTACAGCAAACATCTGAAAAACAAAAGTCACAAGCTTTCTTCTGGATGAGCCTGTTTACATGTTTTGAAGGGCATGGGAGGTTTTGCAATATGAGCAGAAAGAAAAAAAATCCAACAACAACCCAATGATTTCCTACACACTTGACAAATGTGCTCATAACACACGTGAATTGCTTAAGTGAAGCAACGGGAAAGCTGGGGGTCAAAGTGGGGAGCCAGCAGAAGAATGGGGAGGAACACAGTCCCCACACCAGCATCCCAGCTCAGTGCCCCATTTACAAGATCTGAGCCAATACCATGGGGATGAATTATCACATCCTGGCTCAGTTTGGCCAATATTAGCTACAGTGGGGTTTTTTCCTGAGGAAGAACTGCGTAAGGAACTTCAGCTCTGACCCAACAGCAACACAAAAGGCAGCCCTGGAAAATCCAAGTGCATTTAAGGATGCTGGAAAGTGACTGTGCAGAACTTGGCATCTTTCCATCCCTCTAATCTGCTTTAGATGGAGCTAGAGTTTCTTTTACAAAATAATAAGGACAGAGCTACATTTCACTGTCAGAGATCCAGGTTCATCACTGCTGGATTTCAGAAAACAAAGATGTGTTTATCTCAGAGGCCATGCTGGGCTCTGTATGCTTTGACCCTGACCCGACGGTACCTCATCTGTGGGTAACAGAAGGATAATTCAGGCTTCACAAGGGACATGGAACCACTCAGGGTAAAAATTCAAACTAAAATTGGTCAGATATAAAAGGTTGGACAAATTACTCCTCTCCCCACCCTTATAATTATTTTCACAGTTGTCTCTGCAAAGCCTGGATGTTGTCAGAATTTAGCATTTATAGAGCTCTGCCTGCAGAAAGCACTGTATGACATGGGGCAGTCAAACCTCTGAGTAATTGTTGTTATCATTTAATTTTACAGCAGAGGAAACCTGGATGTAAAATTCGTCATCCTCCTGGATTGCAGCTTCCTACACTCCAACCCCTGTTCCCAACACCAGGCCCACTTCCAAATTGCACGGCCACCTCCTAGATGCAAAGGCACTGTTAGATTTGGAGGACAATTTTCTTGGTTCTTAAGAAACATTTAATTTTTGCTTTCATGGACCAGGCATCACAATCGGATAAACTCTGCCCAGTCTTAACCATCCCTGAGTCATTCTGCAAGAACATGCCCTTGGTGTTTCTCTTATCTCCACCTCTTCCAGCCAAGCCTGCAGAGTATTGTCATAAAGAACTAAAAAATCATAAGAACATCAAAGAAAAGATGCTCTACTGGTGCTCTACTAAGGAGCAGGCTGAAGAGAGAGCTCAGCTCTTGTTAGACACCAGAAAATCCACCTATTTGACTATCCTTGAGACAAAACTGCTTAGAAAACCAGCATTTAATGGTCTTACTGATCACGGAATTCCTGGTTTATCCATGGTAAAGATCCTGCTTGAAGAATATATCCTCAGACGGTAAAGTGTACATGGGACATAACTAAAAGAGAACCCCTGTATTGATAGAGGAGAAGAGACACTGAACGATTCTCACTCTACGGCTCAGATGCTGAGCAAGATGAAAAGTGAAATAACATACCCGAAGTCACAGAGGAAATTGTCCTACAGAACAAAATACCCTAAGTCCCCAGATTTATGTCCCCACCTTGCAGTGCATGGGGAATACATCCCACAGTTCATTGCCTCTACACTAGTCGAGTACGTTGTGCTGGATCAGCCTACATATTTCACATTAAATTTGGTTATAAAAGACCACACCTTCAAGAAGTACCGCCTACACCTCATTTGTTTCCAATAACATCCTAGCTCTTTTTCTTTTAAATGCCTGTATCTCAAAAGGTTCCTTTTCTCCTCCTCCCAAATATCCACAACACATTGTAAAAGGGGAAGAAAGGGGAAGGAAAAGAGCTGGCATACTGCTGCAACCTGGCTTTATTTCAGGAATAACAGAATACATTTCCTGCCTTGGTGTCCACAAAAAATTACATCTGAACTTCTCTGAGCTGATTTTGCTATCTCCCCAGCAAGGCTTTTCAGGAAGAAAGAGTGGTTTGGAAAGGATTAATAAACAACAATAAGTGAGGGTGCAAGCAGCTCCATTCGTGTAAGTCATTCATTGGCTTTGTGACTGTTCAGCTGTGGGTGAAAGAAATTAGTTCACAAAGAGATCAAGATGAACAGAAGGTTTCATCTGCTGACTTCACAGTAGCTGCCAGGCAGTGAGTTAAAATCCTCCATTTCATGCAGGCTTTCCATGACAGCAATAATTATCTTCAGCATCTCATGACTGTGCTGCCGAATGGTGCTTTCCCTCCAGGACTTTCTTGTGTATGTGTATTTTGGTGTATGTGGGGAGGGTGACAACAGGCAAAACGATTATCCAATTGGTGGTTGGTGGCTTGATCCTGGCACCATGGTAGGAGTGACTGTGGAGCCTGGGCTTGAGCAGCATGGAAAAACTGGCTTTTACTGATGAGGAGAGGGTGTACTCAGGTCATCTGGTCGGTGTCCTGCCTGATTTTACCAGGTTTCAGGGCACTTTGTGTCCCTGAATCCATTTTGCGGGAAAAAGCACAGTCACAACAGAACAGCACATGTTTAGATGTAATGGGACACATAGGACATGGTTTAGTGGGTTGGATTGGGTGATCTTAGACATCTTTTCCAATGCTGGTGATTCTGTGATTCTACGTTGACATTGCCTGGTGTTTAGAAGGGCAGGAAAGCAATGAGAAGAGCATGTGCCTCCTGGGGACAGTGGGGAGTGCACCTTATGACACAATCAGAACTTGTCCCATGGAACAGCCCAGTAGCAGAGCCCTGGCGTAGGTCAGGTAGTGAAAAGGAAATTGCTGGAAGATGGAAAGCCCTGCAAAATGCCTCTTTTTTCTCTCTGTAGAAGATGGGTTGCAATAATGAGAACCAACTTCAGCTTCTTGGTACACTTCTCATCTAAGCCAGTAAGTTGTTCCATTAAGCCCAGCCTGAAAGTGATGGGCGCTTGAACAAAAGCAGCTGTGCCTTCCTCCAGCATGGATAGAAAGAGCCTTCCTATTCACAGGGAATAGAAGAATGCAGTTTTGATCCACTATCACCGAGTCAATCGCAGGCCAGCAAGGTGCTCACTGACTCCTCAAGGCATTCACCTCTTCCGATTAGTATTAACTCAATCCTTCCTGGCTCTAAAACCAGTCCTTCATCTGGGGTCAGCCTCCTCCAGCATCCCGCATTGTCTGAAGAACGCAGCGGCGAGCTGACAACATTTGCGATTTCAAAATGAATTAATTGTTAATTAATTGTTAACTAAAAGTTTCTAGTCAGTAATGATTTCCCTCACCAACGAGCGTGTCTCCAACATGTCTCAAAATGCCTTCAAGGCAGAGTTCAATAAAACCTTTGGTGGGTTTCTGACAGCAATGCTGCTTTCCCCTCATTGTTATGGTATAATTCATTCTCCTTGCAGCGCAAAGACATATATATGGGCCTCAGCTCCCAAATTTGCTGATGCAAGAAGTCTTATTTTTGCCAAGGCTTTTAGAATAAAAGAATCATACTGTAACTGCAATGCTGCTGCTTAAGGGATTAGCACTTTTTCATTCTGGAGATGAGTAGTTACTATGATTTCTACAAGGGAGAAAGCTATTCACAAATTGTAAGAAAAACAACTCCATCTTCTACTCGCTTTTAGCAAAGTAAAAAATCTGGAGTATTCACTCCTCTCTGAAATCATCATATTACTGTCAATCCCACTCTCTGGATCCAGCTCTGCAAGAGTAAATGAAATCAACAAACTGCATCTTTTTAGAGCTCCTATTGTTTTTCCACCAGTGGAAGGCTTCTGTAGGAGAAAACATGTAACACAGAAGTTACAGCTCCAAGTGTTACTGATCTCTGAGCACTGCTCTGATGCTTTCCAGTTTCTGAAACAGTATAATAGTGTGTTTTCCTTTGGCTGCTGATTGTACAAGGTAGTTTTAGAATAACTGAGTACTGAGTTTAGGGGATATGATATGGTGGAAAGTACACGTGGAATCTTCTAATCTGCTATCAGATTAGTCTCTATGTCAGCAGATTGTTGCAGCTAAATCCCCTCATCTCAGGGTCCCAAAACAGAAACAGTAGGAACAACATCTAGAATACTGTATAGAGTGCATTAAGAGGGAAGCAGGTAAGCTACAGGTAGCAAATTAATGCAATTTTGCTGTTTCTCTGCAGAGAAGCCACTGGCAAACATATTGTTAGAGGTAAGCTCTGAAACAGACTGATGAACTGAGGCCTGTTCCATCCTAAGAGCTGCATGGACTCTTCCTCTCAGAATCAAAGAGAAAATACAACACGTCCAGAGATATCCTTACAGTTTAACCAGAATGAACCTGAGGTCTGCTGCAACTGGCTCAATTTTGCAGCAACTGGTTAGCTTTTGCAACACTTACTAGTTTTAGAAGGGCTTCCATATACATGAAGTATGCCTTCTTACTTAGCACAGAGATGTAATTTCCCCTTCCAGTCGTTGGCCAGAGAACCAGCATTCCAGAATGATGTATTTTAATTAACTTCAGCAATTGAGTCCCTCGGCTTGGAGGCATGTGTGATGCTGAACAGAGCATGTGCAATTTTAGACAAGTATTTTCCTTTTCATTCTAAGGATCAAAGCTGGTGAAACTAGTGGATATCCATACAGCCTAAACAGAAACGGCCACTTGGAAAATAAACCAGATGTTTGTATATGGATGCATGGAGTGATGTTATTCTGAGAGATGTGTGCCTTCACAAATACCTTCAGCATTGGACCCAAACGTAAACCTCACTTGGGTCCACACATGTTTTGATTTGGAGTTTTGCTTCAGGCCTGTTTTGAAGGAAACAAGTGCTAACAAGATAGAGGTTCCTTCAACAGCCTTGGCTCCAGCTGCCCTCAACTATTTTGCTGTGCTCAATGCAGGTCCATACTCTACCATGCAGCAGAATCATAACCTCTTCTAAGGAAGCTGAACAAAATTTTGTCCTAAACATCAAGGAAATTGGCTTGTTGGTGTTACTTACCTCACTGTCTTCTGCAGGAGGTGGAGGAGGCTCTTTGATGATCTGGAAGAATAAATGAGAAAAAAAAAGTGGTAAATCAGCATGATGCAAATGTTGCTCATTATGTGATCCTTTTCCATGTGAAGTGACCTAGATCCGAAGTAATACACCCTGGATGCTCCTTGATATCCCAATAGGAGCCATAATGCTGGCACACTGGTAACAATCATCGTTCTACCCGCACAAACATGTTAAATTCAGCATGCCCTCCTACTGGCCACTGCACACACATGCATGTCCTGCCTCAAATTAATTAGCATCCGCACAGACAAAGACTGGAAAAGAAACCAAGGTAAACGAAATGCCCCAGAGACACTGCAGAGGAGTAATTGCTGTTTCCCAGAGCAATACACCACTCCAGAAAGTTGTGCCACTCATTGCTCTCCTAAAGAATGCTTTTCACATTGCCAAGCACTATATCCCACTCTCATACTGTTTTCTTTAAAAGCTGCATATATATGTACTTACGTATATATGTACACGTATATACGCACATACACTTGAAAGTTCTCCAAGGATTTCTAACTAAAAAAGCAATCAGGGTGAGGTTTTAGACCAGTCCAGGATATTCTCCATAGAAACAGCTTAAGTTTACGTGGGCGTGAGGTTATTATTTCATGCAAAAAATTTGCATCTCAAGCTCAGCAGGCAGTTGGCTATCATCACAGCCCTCCACTCCAAGAGCAACAGAGAATCTTCCAAAGGGAAAGCAGTTGCATACAGACACGTCAAATCTCTCTCCTTTACACGCAACAGACCCCAGTGCAGAGCCACTGCAGGCAACACTGAATCTAGTCACTCGTGTCAATGCAGCTGCCCCTGGGATGGAATTTCTCCTGTAGTTTTAAGTCCATCTGGATGAAGCAGCTCCTTCTTTATGCACAAGGTAATGAGTTGGATGCTTCTGCGGTGCTGAGCTCCTGTCAGGACTGTATATTGAGTGTAGGGGCTGTCTAAAGGTGGGGTGCAGATGTACAGGCTGAGAGATTGCCCTTCAATAACAAAATCACAGTCCCAAACAATAACAGCTTGGCTATTTAAATGCAGGAAGAGAAAATGACAATCATATTAAAGGCCCCCAAGACATAAATATTTACAAAAAATTCCCTCACTGTTGTTTTAACTTCTCTGATGAGCTCACTGTTTTTATCTTCTTCTGCAAACCCCAAGTCATGCAATACGGCCGTTAATGAGGAGCATGTGCCTTTGGCTTGGGAGGAGACTGGGGTTGGATCAGTCCTTTTTACACATCACACTCTGCATATCCCATTCCTGGGCAGCAGGTCCTTCTTTGTTGGCCTTCAGGAGGAATCTCTGCTAAACAGCCTGCGTGCTTGGGTGCCAACACTGAATCTTTGCCTATGTGCAAAGGCACAAAGCCCACATGGAAGCATAGGATGACATTTCAGGAGTGATGTAGGTACACCCCCTGTCCTGCTCTGATGCAGCAGAACCATGGGTCAAGTCCTGGCTACAAATGCACTGACCATGTTAGGGACAAATGTGATTGCCCTAAGTTGGCAACAACATAGTCTCTTGTACATCTCATGACACAATTAGTGACTCTTGTGTACAAAGCACCAAATAAACACAAGGCTTTTCTAGTCACATTTTCAGATATTTTGGCTACTTGTCACTATAATGGTCACTCTTCAGCAGACCTATCTTCGAACCAAAACCCTTAATCCAAACAAAACTCTGAAAAATTTCAGATATTTCACTCATCCAAAACATATCTACTGGAACTAGTCTTACTACCTTCTCTAATGTTATTCTGGTGGAACATTGTGGGTTTCAGTGGAGTTTCTCTGATTTGCATTGGCATGAAAAATGAGGATACTTGGTCCAGCTAAGCATTCACACACAACTTTTCAGACAATATCACTGGAAAATCTTGAGATTACAGACTTGGATATGATGGGATAGCTGTGTTTTTCATATATTTGTATTCTTTCTCACAACATACACACTCTGGCATTAACTGATTTATATGAACATTCATTTTCTCTTCTGCCCCAGAACAAGTGAAAAAAAGAGTGATCCCTTGCATTATTAAGCACTGAGCACTTCTAAGAACAACTGAATAACCATCAGTTGGCTGCATAGATTGGTTAGTTTGGAGAAGTGCAGAGATGGGGAGAATTTAGTCTTCTCTGCCTTTGAGCCTGTATGAAATTTAGAAATTTATCATATACAAAATATATTTCTTATCTCACCATCCAGATCTCGAAAGGGTTTCAGGAGCTTACCTCTCAATGGAAAACCAGTGTTTTACACAGATAGATAGGGGTAGCTCAAGAGGCAAAGGTTTTAAGCTAAATGAAGGAGAGATTTATATTAGATGGAAATTCTTTACTCAGAGAGTGGTGAGACACTGGAACAGGTTGTCCAGAGAAGTGCCCAAGACCAGGTTGGATGGGCTTTGTGCAGCCTGTTGTGGTGGCTGGCAACTAACCCATTCAAGGCATTGGAACTGGCTGACGTTTAAGGTCCCTCCCAGCCCAAAACATTCTACGGTTCTACAAACAGTACAAATCTTTTCTTTCTCCTGGGTTGTGCATGGGACCATCATTGTGCAGTAGTGGGGGCAGCGAAGCAAATGAGAGCTCTCTGCCACCTGACACATCAGCAAAGCAAATACCAAATGGGAATAACAGGATCCCAGAACTGAAAGGCAGTGCCTTACAGCTGCACAAAAAGAAATGACTACTCAAGTACAAGAAAGAAAACACTGCTACAGGGAACACAGAGAGCCCATAGAGCACACGCTGGCACAGAAGGCTCAAGTCCACCACTCTTGTTCTGTGCTGCACCTCTCGCCTTCCCTCTGCCTTGCCAGATGATACACATGGACCTGCTGAATACAATCAGCTGGGAGCACGCTTGGCCAAGCAAAATGCTTTGGCTATTTAACTTGGCAAAGTTGAAGTGTTTGTTCATATGTGCTGCAATTGTTTTGATAACCCCAAGCCATTTCTGGGCTTGCTGTTACAACTGTATCTCCTGTCCCTGTCTTTGCAAGAAGGAAAATGTGGTTAAGCAACCATATTTGCTTGCTAGGTTACAAATACCTGAGGGTTTCTACATCACTGCCATGCTATCAAAACCTTACAGTATGGTCTTCGGTTGGTAAGAAGTCAAGGCCTGAGGGATGGACAGTTGACCACTGGCTTTCCTCAGCAAAGGAAAGAACTTCAAGAATAGCTGTCAGCACTTCTGCACACTTAGCCATGAAAAGTCATGACAGGAAAGCAATTATGTGCTTTTCTATCAAATCTCAGTATGTATATGACTGACACAGGTCTCTCATAGTTGACCTACCCTGATGTCACAGAGCAGATGTTGCTAAACAACCCAGTATGTAAGCAGAAGAATCCTATTAGCCAGCCTACTGGAAACTCAAAAGCATGGAGAGGACGTATTTGCTGTTGCCATGAAAATTTTTGTAGCCATTCAGGCATAAGCAAAGACAGCACATGTTGAATCCAAATTTTGCATATTCCAGGAATGTGTCTAGAATGTTTTCCATCCTGGGAGCATAGAGAACTCCATCAGTTTGCAGAGTCCAGAAAACACATACTCAGTTACTGTCCCTGAAGTTTTATCTGATAAATAGAGGCAATATGTTCCATGTCAGTGAAATGTATCTGCTTTAAGATAGAACAGAATATAACTTAAAATGAGGGTTACATGAGAAAACAATACAACGAAATAAAGGATTCTGCCTCTAATCAGAACTAAAAATTCAGGAAGGAAAAATGCATTTAACTGAGCAGATTTTGCTCTTATTTGCTATCATTCTTCTTCATAATATGGAATACGTATTTCAGCAATCATAACAAGCAAGGTTTTTTAAAAAATAACATTAACAATGACCCATCTGCCGGATCCTTCTTTCTCTTTCTTCCTCTAAATCCTGTGACAGAGTCTCACAGCATAGTTATGAATTGGATAAAGGAACATTTCCTTTCTATTTGTTTCCTATCTGCCTTGTGTTGTAACTATCCATTAAACCCTTGGAGATTTTGTATGTAGTTCAAGGTTTCTAATACAAGCAGGAGCCTGTCTCTGTGTTTTCAACTGTAAAAAAGTACATTCTTCTTCTCAGGGGCAAATGAAGTCAAATTGGAATGCTATCTCAAACTTTTTTTTAAAGTTTACTTCTATTTAGCCTGGAAGAAGATTCAGTAATCTCAATTTTAACTCATTAAAACTAGGAGAGACAGAACTGCTCCACAGAGAAGACTTAAAGCTGACACATGCAAAAATTCAATACAGACATGTCAAAATCATCCATGCACTTAGAGGAGACATGACATCATGGAGGGGGAAAAAAAAAAGCAGCCTTCCATATAAATAGCTCTGATATACTTTGCAACCGAATAAGGTTGACATGCAATTCTCTGGGGAATGCATGAGAAAACAAAGCATCTGCAAAGGTCATTCCTTTTCCTAGGCCATTTCAATCACACAGACAAACAAGGCCAGAATCAGTAGGTTTTGCTCCAAGTGCCTGACCCACTTGCTTTGGAAGTGCAAATAAATGAATTTCATTTTTTGAACTAAAGAAAAGGAAAACATCACAGCTACTTCCAGCTATCTGCAGAAGCCCTTACTCTCATTCATTGATTGCTCGTGATTTTATTGGTTGAGTAAGACTCAGTTCTAAAGAGCTATTTCTCCTCAGCTGGGCTTAGGAGAACTTTCTTTGGAAGAGGTGAGAGGAGCCCACAGAAAAAACAAAGGAAGAAAGAACTTTTACTCAGTTAATTGCTTTCCATGCAAAACCTGAGCAAAGAACAACAGTGCCTCCTCTATTCTGAGTCTCTGTTGTGGTCTGGAACAAAAGGTGCTGAAGGCAGTTAGGATTAATGTAATTGGCTTCTGGATCTGGCCTTAAAGAGATGCATTAACAAGGGAAGTGGTTTGGTAATCTGAAGTCTACGCCTATCACTTCATGGCAAAGGGCTTTCAGAAGGCAATTCTTAGCGCGCTCTAAATATTGAACCCCTGGAACACGTCTTGGGTTGGAAACTCCAAAACTGAAGGACGCTTTGGAGAATTTGGCTTTAACTTTTTGGCTCCGATTGTTTTGTATTGACTGTGCCATAAATGAAGACACGCCTTTGTAGCAGCAAGAGTGGATACCAGTTTATGCTCCAATAGCTTTGGTGGAGCTACCATGTTGTGTCAGGTGATTGCTTGGCTTGGTCTGAACCAAAGACAGGGGCTGTGGGGTCTATAAGCCATTTTTCCTGCACATTTTTGTTTTTATCTCTCACTTTGTCTCACTAATGTTTCATACAATTCATGAATCTGCATTCTTCTCTCCCAAGATCATTTTAAGTGCAGAAAAATGATGCCTCACGCGCACATGGGAGTGGGTGGGAATCAGAATATGTGGGCCCTTACGAGTAACCTCCATCACGCCAATGTGCACCATGTAGTCTTATTACTCTCTGGGGTTACTGTAGTGTATATATATTTCCTCCCCTTCTCTTCCTCCAGTTTAGCCATAATTTGCATGTGTTTTATATACATACATATATACATATATATATATATATATATATATATATATACACTTTTTTTTTTTTTTTTCATTCTGTATTTTCTCCACCCAGATTTTTGTTTCCAAAACTTTTGGTCAGCTGCACTACAGACAGAGCCAAACAAATTGCTGGGTTCTTCCATGGTTCTTTCCAGAAAGCAGCTTTAGAGCTAAGACTGGCGTTCAGTGCTTGAATACCAACACCTCATTTATATGCCAGCCACACCCCTGTAGTTTAAGAAGCTGCAGTACAAAAATAAGCAAGAGGGTGCATATATTCTGAGCAGGCAATTGCTACAGAGGTGCAAAATGGGAGGAGCACGAGAACTGTCCCAGCATGGATATGACTTTCAACTAATGTAGTATGTCTTTGCTATACACCCAAAACAAATTAACCAACTTAATTTCTAAGCTAATCTATTAATATCCTGCAAAAGCCTCCTTAAGACTATTTTGGAAGCTTATTATGTATTTGTCTTACAAATATTTGCATTTACTTGGATTGTGTCTATATTAAAACTATACCTTGTGTTGGCCTCCTGTCTGGAGCTCAATGTCACCTTTGGGCACCTAAGGAACCTGTAGCACACACAGTTCTCCTATGAGTGCTCTAATCTCTCCTGGTTACCCCACATTCAGGAAAAAGGGGAAAAAAACAGCTGTGGAAAGTCAAAAGCCCAAAAGCATCATCAAGGCCAGGATTTGGCACCTTCTGATTTGCAGATGTGCTCTTCTCAGAAAAAGTGGGGTCATCCTGCCATGATGTCTTTGTATTTGTCATCATTCTTTCAATGTGTACAGTGCTGGAGATGTAAACTTTGCAGAATATGTTTCTTTGTTGCCTGCAGTTGAATAAACTCCCTTGAAATCTCTTCAAAAGTTAGCACCTGGATCCCCCGCTTTTGCATCTCCCCATGGATGTCAAGGGAAATTTTGCCTATATCAGGCACAGCAAAGGTCTAATTATTATTTTGATCCACTAAGCAACAATTGCATCTACTGTAAAATGAGTGGTAAATTCCAGACTTCATCCCAGAATACTTCTGAGACCAATAAACTTGGATACGCTTGGAAACAGCATTTCTTTATGGGTGCACGCCAAGGAGATACTGAGTTCCAGATAAATCTCCAGAGTAAGTCTATTGACTTCAGTGCCTTTACTCCAGGGTGAAGCTGGCTTGGTGTCTTTCCTGGAGAACTGCTGGACAGTAATGATCCCTATTTAACTAAAACACATGCCAAGGGGAGTTTCAGGGTTTAGAAATGTGCTTGTCACTCAAATTTACTCTTCATAAGAAAAAAGTTGTATTTTTTTTCCCCTCAATACAGACACACAATTATCTCTGAGATGTCCCCAGGCTTGAATTCACATCACTGTCTCTGGGTCTGTGGTTTGATTATTAGAGGTTATTGCTTGCCTGCTTCTTGTCTGTTGTGTAAGCCAGTTCCTCTGCCCTTAATTCACTCTGTACTTCTGACATTGAATTCCTTGCTGAGCCACTGCCAAACTAGTAAATAAGCATTGCTGCCCTGCTCTCTTTCTCCCCACCCTAAACCAAGCAGGCTGGGTGCTCCTTTGTGGATTTGTCTCCACATTTTACAGGACTGAAATGCACTGTAAGGTATCTTCACTGGTTTGCTACTGATACTGCTCTGCCATCCTGGAGAGATGAAGAAATCTTACACAGGTTCCTGAATTAAAACTTCTCCAGCAAGTAAAGGTATGTGTCTGACACACACTTAAAGCAGCACAGTTCTATGACTGCTGTTCCCATATCGTCCCCTTGGAGCAGTCTTGCACTGCCCTCTCAATGCATGTAGTTCCACATCCCTCTACTTCATACCCTTCTGCTTTCATTCATGCCTTCTTATCAGCCTCATTGATCTTCAAAAAAAACCCTAAATGGTAGCATCACTTACAGCCTCTCCTCTCTGTCACCTCAGTTCTCCACTAAATCCTGGTGTAAACCATGCACATGGGTTCACCTCCATCAACTCCCATGCAGATGTGCCAACGAAGGAGCTGGCCTGACTTTGCTGGAAACAGGCCATCTAGTTTAGACAAACAACTCCCAGAAGTCTACCCCTCTGCTAATCCTTTGTCCATTTTTAGAACTGTTTTTTTATTGTTCCAATAAGTTCAGATAAGTATTTTTTTCCCTTCTGGTTTTCTACTCAGGACAGAAGTGCCAAACTACCGTGAAAAGAAGCATTCTACACCTCACTTATCCATCCAGAAACAGACCCAGATGATTAAGATTTTTTCCTCCAAGTTTTTCCTCCTTGTTCTGTATAGAGAAGCACATCTCACACAAAGACGTTTCAGATATGACCAGCTTATGCAGTGCCTGTGGATCCACATCTTGCAAGGACGTAAACTTTAACATGGTGTAATCTTAGAAAACCGGAAAAGAGATTTACAATCAGGAACAATGCTAGTGATGCAGAAACTTGAGTCAGTTTGGATAATCTTAAAAGTCGCATTTGAAACATTATATGCAGGCTGACACCAAAACCAGTCCCCAGTTCTGACAGTAATTCTTCCTCTGTATTTGGTGTGTAAATGAGATGCAAAGCAAAGGCTGAGACTCATTGAACTGCACACTTCACCCCAATTCCCATTGGAAAAGGCGGCCCTAGGGCATGATCAGCAGAGATGTACAGAGGTATGACGGGTCCTTGCAGTCAGATAGCAGGGTCATGAGTGAGAGAAAAGCTTATCTCAAGTCCCCGATTGCCCCTCACCTCCCCCACCTCCTGTTTTCTCCACATTTTGTCTGCCTTTTTCAGATATCAGCTCTGTAACTACGCTTTTTAACTCTTGAGAACATTTTGTTCTGTTCATTTGTTCCATCCAGACAATGTCGACCTGCTGCTTACCACCCACCATCTCTGCCCTGCAGAGCAAAACTTAACATTTCATCATACAGAAATGCCATGGAGCTGTCAGCAGCCTGAAAGCAGAACAAGGTGAGGAGGACTTACCACTGTGCAGCAAAGAGGCCAGAACCACCAGAGGAGAGCCAGTGCCAGCAGCAGGAAGAGAATCAACAGAGCTATAGCCAGGATGGTCCCATCTGACTGAAAGAGAAACAGAGAGCATGTGAGTACCACCAGCAGAAAACACAGTTTTCCTCTCTCATACATATAAATGGGACACCTTCCCCATCCTTGATTACTACAAAGAAACTGAGACATCTTATTCACCTCCTGGAGTTGTACAAAGTTTTGTCTTAGTTCTCCCAAAAAAGTATGCATTTTTAAAGCATCACCACTCACAACACAATGTTTCCTTACAATTTCAAGCATTCTCCTTTCTTTGTGACTGTTTGTGACTGTCTATAGCAAACTGATTGAGCTGTAAGTGTCCCTGATCACTGCAGGGGAGCAGGACTAGATGGTTTTTAAGGATCCCCTCCAACTCAGATAATTCTATGATTCTTTGATTCTATTCTTCCCTTTTGCACAAACTTGAAAGTAATGCCAGAATTCTAACTTAATCCAAACAGAAAACTCTTAGGAGAGCTGCAGTTTGCACCTGTAGGAGAAAACAAGAAAAGCCAAAGCTCAAACATGGGATGACACTGGCCAGCATGCAGTCAGGCAAAAACATAAAAGGCTTTTTAAAGTATGCCAACAGCAAGACGAGGTTTAAAGAAAACACTGGACTGATACTTGGTGAAGGAATTCACCTAACAAGATAGGATGAGGAAAATGCAGATTTTTGCTTCAGTTTTTAATATTAATGGTTGGAGCTTGATGGTCCTTGAGGTCCCTTCCAACCTAAGCCATTCTATGATTCTGTGATCTTGAGTTGTCCTGTCATCTGAGTTGGAGAGCCATGATGAGAGGAGAAGTGACTTTCCACTTGTGGTCACCAAATCGCAAGGAAACAGTTTTATCAGCTCAATGGTCATGAGTCCATGGGGCCTGATAGAATTCATCCCTAAGCACTGAAGGTATTAGCAGATGTTGCAGTTGGTAACTGCTCTCAACAGTTTACCAAAGGTCTGAGATGAGCTGGATATATCCAGAACTACAAACAGGGCATGAGAGAAGACTCAAAGCACTACAGACCTGTTTGTTTAACCTCATGCCTGGAAAAGTTCTGGAAGAGATTATCCTGGGGGATAATGAAAGGTCATTAAAGAACAAAGTTGTTATAAGCCATTGTCAACATGGGTTCATTAAGGGAAAGTCCTGCCTTAATAATTTGATCTCCCTCTATGATAAGGTCACCTGCTAGGTGGATTAAGGGAAAGCAGTGGATGAAGGTAAGGCAGGAGATGTAATCTGTCCGGATTTCAGTAAGGCCTTTGATACCATCCCTCATGACATCCTTGGAGAAACTGACTGACTGTGAAACAAACTGGTTCACCCTACGCTGGGTGATTAAGAACAGAGCTCAGAGCAATGTAGGGAATGGAGCTACATCAAGAAGATAGTCACCAGTGGTATTCTCCAAAGATCAGTTCTAGGGCCAGTCTTGTTCAATGGTTTTATTAATGGTCTGGCTGCAGGACTGAATGCATCCTTAGCACGTTTACTGATGGTGCTAAGGATAACTGGAGTTTCGTTCAGTCCCTGCAGGGAAGAGAGGCCCTGCAGAGGGATCTGGATAGACAGACTGGAGCACTGGGCAATCAGCAACGGCCTGAAATCCAGCAAAGGAAAATGCCAGGTGGTGCAGCTGGGATGGCATAATGCAGACATGGGCACAGCCTAGAGGAGATGAATAGCTGGAGAGCCTGAGCAGGAAGGGACCTGGGGGTGCTGGTGACAGCAGGTTCAACATGAGACAGCAGTGGGCCATGGTAGCCAGAAGGATGCCCCACGTTTTCCCCATTTAAAAAGGTATTTACAATTCTTTGATATCTATTAATCCAAAATGCTGCACAAGGCACCTCAATATAGCAGTTGAAACCAAATGCGCATTATTTCTTGTCAATTTAACACAAACCAGATGTTCTCAGCTCTCTAAGGCATGCCAGCTTCCCCATACTATGTCTCCACATTATCACCCTACTCTGAGATAAGTAAGCAGGCATCCCTGACTCAAGCCTGTTTGAGACATTCTTGATGTAAGAGCCAGGCATATAAAAACCCCACCCAGATGTCAGGGTCACCAAGCCAGGCTAAGGACACGTTCAAGAGCAGACTGACCTGCAGGATGGAAAAACTGGGTGCCTACTTAAGTCACTCTAATTCCACGGCCAGATGATCTCCCATTATACCAAAATGGCAAGAATAATGGAAAAACAATCAAGGTTAAAAGCATTTTCCAAACCTTCTTCTAGTGCAGAAGACATTTCTGGACATCTTGGATCAAGACAATCTGATCTTTGACACATGGAAATAAAAAACATGTAGTCTGCACAGGAGAATTCACCCAAGACATCTCTGGAAATGGAAACTGGACCCTGACACAAAATAAAACTCATTTGAGAAGACAGAGCTGTACATTTTGGTGTTGTTCCTTTAGACAGATGGCATAAAATAACATCCATCATCCACAAAGTGGAACGTGCTGATGTTAAGCACTTTAGAATATGTGATCCTGAGTCTTTGTTGCTATGAAATCATAGAGGAAAGGAGGAAGGTTTTTTTATGTCTAATGGTTGCCTGCCTCTTTCGTGCCTATACTGAAATAAATTTTGTCATTAAGAACAATTTAAAAGCAATTTGCAAAAATACAGGGCAAATTAAACTGGTCTTTTAACCGGTTTTTAACAGAATTTGTTTGTACTGGAAAGGGTAGTTTACATTACTCTAACACATCTGGATCTCTGCAAGCTGATGTGGCCAGCTGGTATTCTGCATCTCTCAGCAGTGAAACAGTCCAGAGAAGCTGAAAGGGTTTCATTTGCCAAAACTTACATTTCTCACTCAGGTAATGCCTCTTACCAAAGCAGCACTGCATGACAAGCCTGCAGGAATGAGCCGCCTTCTGATATCAAAACCAGACATGCACACAAAAATGTGGGGTTGGTATTAATTCCTATTCTTACATTTGAACAAAGATGAAAATAGTCTGGACAGGCCAGGACAATGTATACATACATAATAAAACCTACCATAACCACCAAAATGACCCAAACATTGCTTTTGCTTTGTTTTACCTTTCTATTGTCAGTTTCCCCTATAATTTAGTTATCATTCTATGTAGCATCCATAGTTTCATAGAGCTGAACTTTGCTTAGATAGAAAGTGCCATTACCCAAGCAGAATAATAAACAAGAAGGAAAATACGCCTGCTAGAGCAGTTTGCAAAAGTTCCACTGACATTTTTGAGCCTTTCTTCCTGCCTTAAAACTGATTAAAATGGGCTGGTGAAGACTTTTGAAATATCTGTTTCCATTCCATTATTTTTAAATGAAAATTTGGAAGAGCAACACAATAAGTCAATGAGCTGTGTTTGACACACATATTGAATAAAGGCTGTCAACTCTGACGATGAAAATAGCTTTCATTTTGAAGACAAACAGTTTTAACACTTCACTATTGGAATTCCTGTAAAGTATCTACAGAAATGAAGCATGGTAGCCCCTAAGTACACAGCTATCGGAAATCAGTGCTACTTTCCCACTGGGATTAATTTTGACTGCTATACGGAGATAAAACCATACTGCCTGTGCCTGTGGCAGGATCAACAACCTACAACTCCACCACGTGAAAAATGGGCTGAGGTACTGTTACCACTTCTGCCAACTATAAACTAAACACAAAACATTTAAGAAACTTGCCTCCAGACAGCCACTGAAGACCTTGATGATGGATGGAGCCAGTGTTTTAAATGCCTTGTTATTGTATCAAGAAACACTCTACATGAAAGTGATCAGGATCAGAAGACCAATGGACAACTACCTCTGGATGATATTGTAAAATACAAAGATATCAAGAAGTATGAAATGTGAGATTTGAGGCATTTCCTCAGACATGGATGCGCACATACGTACATATAAATATATATATTTTTTTCTTTCACTCAGAAATTAGTGTTGGACTTTGAGGAGCCAAACTGTATCTGGGGGGAATTCTTCTGTCACGAGAAATGGACCTGGCCCATGTCTGCAGGTACCCCGAGCAGTGAGGGATGACAACATCTGACCCAGAACATGGCACAGGCTATTTCCTTAAGTCTACCCACAAAAATTCAGCTATGTGCTGTCTTCAAAAGCAAGACATTCCTCTAGGACACACACAAACCCAGGGAAGATCATATCTAAGAAAAAGGTCATGATTACGTGCATGCACATTCCTTCAAGAGACAGCAAACAGGGATGATCACTGCAGGCAAATGACTCATCTTCACCTCTCCTGTTGCTTACCAATGTTGCTGCCCAAGACCAAGTTCCTAAAATTTTGCTTCAGGAAGTGGGAACACAGTCATGCAGACAGACAAAGCTAAGACAGAATCAGTAACTCTGAGACCCTCTTTCAGCTTAGGCATCCAGGGTGCTTCTAAGAGAAACACATAAATCTCCTCATTGACTTTTCAACGGCTTAGGTCTGAGGATTTCAAACAAACAAAGCTATTATGCATCAGATGGGAATTTGGTTTTGTTTGAATCCTAATTATTTTTGTTTAAGATTTTATTTCATAGTTTCTCACTTTACTCCACTAGCATCTACAGCATACAGTAAATATTCCAGAATTGGAACACAGATTAGCAACATCAAAGCATACTCCTGAAAGGGTTGACTACTGACGTATAGGAGTGATGAATGAAGTACTAGGCACACCTAACAAGTGTGCTCATGTACTGCTGCTGATGAATTAATGCACCATTGATTTATAGGGAGAGGGCAGTGGTTAGCGTGCATGCTCATTACCACAACAGTAAATGGATTTAACTTGAAGCACGTGTTTAGATGTGCTGACTCTGTGATGTGCCTAAGAAGGAAGGACTTCTGTTGAATACATGCATCAAGCACTTGGCTTTTGTAGACTGTGAAGTTCAATAAAAGGAGTTTGTTCTAACTCCTACTGACCTCATCAGAAAGTAGGATCACAGATGTGATGTTCCTTTACCAGCCAACTGCTCCAGGACCATTGATACCATGCTGTGCAGCAGAGCATC